TTTTTTTTCATATAATGTAAATATCAATATTTAATGATTATTTTCTATTACTTAGTGCTGTATTAAATGTGTATTACAGTTATTATATGTATGAATAAAAACTTTCTATCCATTTTATTATTGACTTTAGTATCATATCTACAAAATGAGTTGACATTCTTAGTTGAAACAGGCTATAACTAAACTTCAAAGGATTTCCTATATAAACACCGTCCTTTGAATTTTCCAGAGTTGGTATTCGGGGAATGAGCCCCTGCACATTTGGTACATATGTGTAATATGTCGTGCTCAAAGATAAAACCACACCTGTTGTCTGCGGGGTCCCATTTTAATACGTATCCGTTAATAGACACCTGCTATTATATGCTGTTCAATCGTGTAAAATTGGCACACAAAAGTAAAACAATCAATATGTCTTATAAACGTCTCATCAATTTAGCAGATAAATGTTTAAACATACAAATCTACAGAATAATCAAGTTATGGACAGCATCCTTAGGTAGCGGATCTTACCTGATAATGATGACGTCATACTTTGACTGGTATGTGGTCCATATATATGTGCCTCTCCGTCACCTGTAGATAGATGGTAATACTAGAGTTACGTACTGTTGACAATGCCAGAACACCAGAAAATATGTATACTCATATACCCGTAACAGGCAAATTGATTAATAAATTTCATGGAATTCCGTATTTTTAAGTAAATTGCACTGAAAGATTGGCTGTGTGAAGTTAAGATATACCAGCATCAAGAAATAATGGTATATATGTCTTAGAAAATAGTACTGTATATGTTATTAAAACACCAAATAAGTACCACTCCTCTTAACTTTTACGGTGAAACAGATCGTCAAACCAAACAGAAATGCATATACAACCACAATATATATACATATATACATTTATATCGATAGCGTTAACACACAGAAAAACTAAAACGTAAAATTATAAAAAGATATCTGGAACTCAAAAAACTCAAACAAAACTCGTGAATTGATGTCAGATCACTGACAGGATACCTTCACATCTCTATTTCATACACGTCGTGATGTATATAAGTATTCCGGTCACAAACAATCTCCGGTACAATGGTTTTAAGCTATTTCAGTAGACGGAAATAAGGTCATTATAACGATCGTTATATGGCACATACTTAGATTGACACTCCTCCGGTGGAACTCTCCAGTCGAATTATCTAATGGATGCATCCAGAATACAGAAAGCACCGCACAGAATAGCGTCTCAACTGTAACATGTGAAATCCATTGACAGCCAAAAGGATAGTGGTAAAGAATACCATCAATTTAGAATATATTATCACCATTGTCAGTATGGCGATTTTTTTGTAAAAGTTACTTTCTACAGAAGGGTATCATATAAGTCATTTCTCACGATACATTTTGTAGAGTTGTAGTTAATGGATTTTTGGGTATATCAAAGCAAAGGCAATCAAAAACTGCCGCTTCAGGTCGAGTGAACAGGTGTTGCTATCTTAGAAGTATCAATGTTCAGATTTATAATGAAAGATTGATAGCTTAGAAATGGCATTAACTCTAAGCAAGAAGACACCTCTTCAGTGGAGGTTTTTTTCGCCATTACGAACTGATATAATTGTAATCCTGTATCTTAACAGGAATTTATCAGTTTAAACCTTACTTATCTCTCTTTTATATTGCCACTCATCATAGAAGATTGTTAAATGTAAATGATATACGCTTTTATGCTACCAACCAAGTTCGGGAAACATTAAATAAATATCCACTCTTTTCGTTATTTCCGATGGTATACCTTCCATTTTTGTCAGGAACTAGATATAAATATACATCTCTTTAACAATTATAATAATCCTTGCATATTTGCTCAGAGATAGCAAGGCAATACTCAAACCTACAAGAAAGCACAAATCTACAAAATCTTTATAAAACAATGATATGTGTTGACGGAAAGGGACATTTTAGAAAGAGTAGATAATTTGGAGGAAAGTGTAAAGTATGCTACATAGACAGGAGACACTTCACAACTAATATTCGAACAAATTGAATAACATATTATTTATTGATTTGCTTTGTTTCAGTAACGTTATCTTACAAAACCATCGATAACATACAGGTATTGGGGGAATTCATTCAGCAAGTTATTCCGATATATATGTACAGAGTCAGAAAGTCTTGGTTAGCTTTAATGGCCTCTATGCAACGGCAGGTTTTTGTTTTCTTTCTTGGGTTATTTTGTTTTGGTTTTACAGACAAGCAGAAGTTTGTCACCTGTTTCATAATACGTTCAGTTTTATTAGAAACTTACAAGATCGTACCGAGTGATCTTGCAATATAGCAATATCTTAATGTATTATTTGTCAATCGGTGTTTTGCGCAAGCATATAAATGGTACCGTCAGCAAACACATCACTTGTGATTTAGGCCAGCAACACCAGAATTCAGAAAGCAATTTGTTCCGGATTAGTTTACGGCCAGCAGATATGAGTGCATGTGTGACTGCTTGAGATGTTTTAACAATTCAGACAGACGTTTTACCGTCCAGACCAACGTAAGAGAGTCTGACATTAAGGTGGGTCCAAATTCAACAAAGCGTTGGCTGTCTACCGACTAGTTTATTAGACATATACGAATATCTCGGAAGACGGACATGATGTAGTCGTTGGAAATAAGGAAATGCTGATTTTTAAAGTTCAAGCTCAAACTGAGTCATGTATGACTTCAATAAGAACATGACCACGAACATTTTAGATGTTGGAAGTTTTTTTTTTAATTAACATTTAAAATTGGTTGTCCTCGACAGATTTCTAGATATAACATCCTTTCCTTGGAACCTGATGCATCCATTAGTTATCATAGCCGGTTATAGACATTCAATAAAAGATTAATTCAATCAAGATGTCTAAAAATTAATGAAGTGGAAAGGATATGGTTTCTGATCAATATTCCTTCTGTAATTCTAACTTACTATATTCTGTGAACATACTTCCAAATTATATCGATCATTTTGAGAGACAAAAACGCAAATGAAAGCCGCCGGTTTTTAAACATTGAATTATGTTTTTCATGTGACTTGTATATAGATTAAAAAATCACTCCGCAATAAGCGTTACAATGTTAAACAAACTAAAGCTTCTAGGATCAAAGGAACATGTGTTGAACATACCTTTAAAGTGAAATTCAAATTCCAAATTCTGATATCATTTATCATTACCTGTTTTAGCGTTACTAGGTAATCAGTCAAGCTACCCAAAAACAGAAACCAAACGAAATGTAATACAGATATTTTAATACATGTATATTTAATGATGATCGCTTCTCAAACGAACTTGTAAGAACACCTGTTAATGAATCTTAATAAATGGTCCTTTTAAATGAAACTGTTAT